ACGTACATTAACTGTTGGACAAAGTTTTGGTTGTGGTCCAACACTTGATCAATATTGTCATACGGGTATTATGAAAACACGTGTTGATAATTGTCAATTTGTTGTTGTTGCACAAAATGATTATTATGCTATATTAAATCAAGTAATTTATTAATTATTTTTTTTTATTAGTTTATATTAATAAAAATGTTTATTTAATTCAAGGGAGAAAAAAATATTCGAAAAATTGAAGAAAATGGTAAAATTGTAATGATTAAAGAAATACGTATAAATGATGATGAACAAAATATGCCACGTGAAATAGTTATAAAAGTATGATTTTTATTTGACAAAAAAAAAAAAAAAACAATTAAATCTTTTTTTTTTAAGGCAACAACTGAAAAATTACTCGATTTACTTGTTGATGAGGTACAATTAATAAATGATCCAAATTATGTTCAAGATTTTCTTTTAACTTATCGAACATTTATTGATAATCCAACAATAGTAACAAATAAATTACTTGAATATTTTGATCAATATAAAAATTCAATAACATGTGAACATATTGCACGTGTTGTTTTATCATGGGTTAATAATCATTATAATGATTTTGAAACAAATCCAAAATTATATGAATTTCTTGAAATATTTGATGATCGACTACAAAATCATGAATTAGAAGTAAAATTTAAAATAAATAAAAATACGAAAAAAAAACAAAACAATTGTATTTATTTATTTTTTTTCAGCACATTCGATCATGGAGACATTTAATAAATTTAGCTTGTTATACAAAAGCTAGTATACGTAATATTACTTTAACAAGATCAACACGAGATGATGTATTAAATTTTAATATACTCGGAGGAACTGATACATTAGCAAATAATGGTATATTTATATCGAAAGTCGAAAAAAATACTAAAGCTTATGAAGCTGGATTAAGAAGAGGTGATCAGGTAATTTTAATATGTTTGAAATAAAAGAAAGAAAAATTCACAAAAACATTAGTATACATATTCGACATGTAGGTTATAAATAAATGAAAAATAAAATTCAATTAGTTTTCTGTTTACTAAAACTTTCATATTTATTTGTACTACTCTTCGTTTAACAAAAAAAAGTTCATCTCCTAGAACTTTGCTTCTAGAAAAAGAATATCAAAATCTAAATTAGTTCATGTTAATAGTTGTTATTGCAAATAGAATTCAATACAATCATGACATCATTTTTTTTCAATAGAGAAATTCCCTATAGGCATTGACCTAATCAGAATGCTTAAAAATGTTGAAACTTCTATATCTTTAACTTTGTTATGATAGAGTTCGACTATTATTGACATTGTTAATGGACGTCTTACGATGTCTAAAGTGAACCCTTGTATATCGTTTTTTCTTTATTTTTTTTTACAGATTCTTAGTGTTAATGGACAATGTTTCGATTATCTAACTCATGTTCGTGCACTTGAAATTCTTCGTAGTACAACTCATTTATCATTAACTGTAAAAAATAATCTTATGGGTAAATAAATTTATTTTTTTGGAATTTTTAACATATATAAAATATTCATTTTAGGTCTTAATGATATTGTTCATCCTGAAAAATCTCCTAGTCGAAAAAAACGTTATGATATATCTCTTTGTGAACAAGAAATTCGAAATAGATTAAATAATTTATCTCCCATATGTTCAGCATCAACAAGTCCACCATCAAGAAGTAATACATCATCTGTAACAATGAATAGTCCATCAGATTCTTATATTCTTGATAATTCATCATCATCTAATTTAATCCGTCCACCATTATCAACAATAACACCAACAAGAAGTAATCTTTCAACAACATGTACAGAAAAAACAAAACCACGTCCATTAACTAAACGTATGGGTTTTAAGCGTGCCGTTATGCAAAAATTTAAAATATCAAAACATAATAGGTAAAAGTAAAAACAAAAAAAAAAAAAATTCGAAAATTAGATTTTTACAGTTTTATTAAAATTTTTCCATCGAGAAAACCATATATATAAACCAATGAAAGAATTAATACAAAACATAATCATAACAACTAATAAATTGATATTAAGATCCGTTCCAACAAGACCTTCAAATAAGAAACAAAAAGAAAAAAATAGATCTCTTTTCATATAGAAATTATTAGAAAAAAATAATATAAAATAAACAACAACATAGAAATCTTATAGTTTCTTTTCGTCTTGGTTTGTTAGAATAATAAGATCTCAAAGATATGAAAAATACATACCTTTGTTATGTGTAAAATTTATCCAAAAATCCCTATAGCCATAATTTCAAATACTAAAAAAACAAGTAGACGCTCGAAATAGTTATTAACAAAATTTTTCGTATGTATAAGAACTTTTTTATGTCTTCAGCTAGATTGATAGAAAACTGCTCGCACTCAACAATGTCAGAAGTTCGAATTAGAAAAGAAAAAAAAAAATTGATTTTTATATCCAGAAAAAGACAAAAGTCTACTTAATATTATAGAAAAAAATACGTTGTTGTTAAGTTCTTTTTTTTTTTTTCATCAATTCCTTATTCTATATTATTTACCACTATACATAATAATAGCCATAATATTTACAATAATCCATATGATATATTGTTCGCAATAACAAAATATAAGTAAAAATTGTGCAACAATACTTAATGCATTTGTTAATGCATCAAGTATATGTGGTAATAACATAGTTTCAAAAAAATATTGTGATGTTAATAATTTTGAAAAAGCTGGTATTTCATAAAAACATACAACACTTAATCCTATAGAAAGTAATATAATAAATATCCATCCAAATAATTTTAATGATTTAACACGTGTTGTTGCTTGATTATCTAATTCTTTTGACCACATATATATACCAATAAATTGCATTGGTAAAAAAAATAATGTATATAATTGTGCATCACCAACATAACCATATGCAAATGAAAATATTCCATATATAATAGCACCTATAATACCCCAAAAATATGATGAAATTTTACCACGTATAACTAAAACAACATTGAGTATATTAGTAAAAGCTGCAAAACCAGATAAACATAATAATATACGACGCCATAATGGTACACCATAATAATAATCATTTGTGAATTTTAATATTGAATATCTTTGTTTATTTGAATTAAAATCCTTTGAATATAAAAAAAAAACAATAAGGAAAATAATAAAATAGAATCGAAGCAACAAAAAAAAAAACCTAACTTACCAAAATAGAAAAAACAACATTAAATACAGCAAATAAAATAAGTAGTAAAGCTTGCCACCAATTAAATGATTTTAAATCAGGTATTATAGATTGAAATACAAGTTTTAAATGTTTTATATAATGTTTAAAAAATAATTTTAATTTAAATAAACGAAATTTTTTATTTTCATTGGGTATTGTACTATCAGTACCATCATCTTCACTACTATCAAGATTTACAGTTGATGTTTGTATTGTTGAGATATCTCCACTTGGAATTTTAACAATATGTTTATTATCTTCATTTGTATCTGTTAATTGTAACGATGAACTACTCATTGTTACCGTGGATACAGGTGGTGAGAAAACAGATAATGGTTGTTGTTCTTTAACATTAAACTAGAAGAGAATTTAACAAAAAAGAAGAAAATTTATTATATAATTTAATTGAATTGATTCCTTTTTTTAGTAGAAATACCGTTAGTTTCTTCATATCTTATAGATAAAAGAGTAGAAATTTTTAGATTGAATGTAATTAGAAGAAAATATTGAAATGAACTTTATTCCTAAATGACTTGTTGACCACGCATATATATAGTATCCATATACTGGTTCATTGGTTACTAAGAACAGCAGTCTATTTTACTTTCATCTCTCAGTTTGCATTGTCTTGCTTATATCATGCTGACAAGACAATCGAGAATGACTGATGAAAGTAAAAGAGACCGCCCATAGCAACGTATAAGCTACTATACAATCACTTTTCATATATATATGCATGACCAACAACCAGTTCACCAATAAGGTTCATTACATAAAACAGAATCGATAAAAATATAGATATTAATCTGCAGTATTAAAGTACATAGTACTTTAATATGAAATACTGATCACCTAAGAACAAATCTTGACCATACAATATTCTTTTGTTTTTTTGTTGTCTTAAAAAATTCTTTATCCATTACTTAATATATAATGTGATCAGAGAATTTTACGTGCGAATTAAATTGAATGTTATTATAAAAACGTATATCATATGAGATCAACAGAATTCATTCATCTTTTTATTCTATTGAACACTGAAAATATTAATTAAAAAGCTAAACTGAAATCGATTAAAGATTTTCTACGATCAATCATTTTTCTTAAAATTTGATAATCCTATGAACTATGATTCAAGTGTAGTAGATAAAAGATAAAAATTTATCTATTACTTATTTTAAAAATACAACAAAATGAGAATTTTGTTTTATCAAGTCTACTAAATAGAAAACAAAAAACGACTTGCATCTCTCTTGTACTACATACCTTGTTCTAATATTTTGCCGTATATAATTATTTATTCTTGAGTACTGTATGAATATTATTATATGCTTATCAATCTATATATGCGCATCTGAATGCAAAAGCAGTCATTCTCATGTTTCGGTAATTAATTTTTCTTTTTAAATACGAAAATAAAAAAAAAAAGAAAATAAATACGTTTCACTTGTTAATATTAGAAATTAAAATTAAAAAACGAAACAATTTTTTCCTTGTTTTTTTTTTCAGATCAACAAGGTAACGTTAAATAAATTTTGTTTCTTAATGTTTGTCAGTATCACTAACAAAAAAAAAAAAAGAAGATTTTTGCACCAAATATTCTCATTATACACCTGCTTTTTATTTTATAATGAACACTATAGTCTCTAAATGTTTTCCATTCTTTTCCTAAAATATTATTACTGCTTCTTACTTGTGTCATCGTTGATCAAACGATTGCAGATTTTTGGTTTTTTTTTTTTTTTTTTTTTCTAAAAAAGAAAAGTGAATGATGCTTTTGATCGATATTATCTTTCTATTACACGAGCATGTTACAAATAAATGTCAAAAAGGGATTTTAGATACAGAAACTGTAACCTTTAGTTTTTTTTTTGAAGTCAATGAATGGTTAATTGATACAAATCTTATTTAATTGTTATTTTTTGTTTTCTCTTTTCAGTGAACTTGATACAACTGATGTCGATAATGGTTTTGATTCGAGTACTTCATCATCACAAAATAATAAAACTATTAATCGAAGTACAAGTAATCCAGATTTATCACCATCATCAATTAGTATTAAATCAATGTCATCATCAACAAATATACCAAATAACGATGAAGATCATTCAGCATTTGTTCTTAAAGTTTTTCGAAGTGATCAATCATATAAATTTTTACCTGTACATAAGGTAAAGAAAAGAAAAATTTTTTTTATTAGATAAGAAATTTTATTTTATTTAGGAAACAACAGCAAAACAAGTTGTCATGTTAGCTATAACTGAATTTGGTATTATTGATCCAAGCAGGTAAATAGATAGATGATTATTGTATTTCTTTTTTTACATATCTACTATTTATCTATGAGATTAGTTTCTCTATTAAATATAATCCTCATCATTTTTCTAGTTATTCATCTTCCCGTGTAGAGTTTGATGTACTTCGGTAAGATTATTATTTTTGAGGGGTTAGGAAAAACTTTACTTTTCTTTTGTCTGTTTTTTGTTTTGCTTTTTAACTAATAAATAAACATCTAAAGTGCATGTTTTGGGTATTATTATGGATTATTTAATTTACGCTATATTTTTTTGTTCTTTTACCTTATTCAGGGAAAGTATATTCTATGACAATGTGTAAGTTTATTATTTAATACTTATCTTCTATCGCTATATGCTCGTTTTCAATATATATATATATATATCTTTAGTTTTTCATTTTAATCACTTTTGATTTATGATATTTAAATTCAGAGTATCCATTGCTTTCTTTTAATCATTGAATTAAATTAAAAATCAATATTAAATTCACATGCTCAATATTTGAAAAAGTACTAATTAGTTTTAGCTTTAATCTATAGAAATCAGGGCTTCGTATTATGATGGACTATCGTGAACTGTCTTATGTCGGATGAAACACTAATCCCAAAACTTTTTGTCCCATGTGGTAAGAGATGGAATGGAAAATTCTCTTTCCTATATTATCCCACGCGAAGCTCTAATAGATATCTGTTCGATTGTAGGACCATTGTATATTTAAAAACAAAATTTTTACGTGAAGCACAACAGTTATATATTTTGATAAACTGTTTTACTCTCACCGGATGATAGCTACCATAAGGAATAGAGTTCGAAAAGTTTCCGCGTCCATAGTTCCTTACGAATGTAGGCTTATACAAAAATCCGTACTCCACAGGCTTCAGTAGAGGATGATGCTCCAGCTATGTGTCTACAAGTTTCGTGAAGTTTCATCAATCTATTGAAGAATTGTGGTCATTTTATTCTAACTATCGGTATTCAAAAGTCATATATTGCTCTTTCGAGATTCATTACTTAGTGACAGTTCAATACATTTATCTGAAAACTTGAGAAAATCTTTTTTTTTATATCTTGAAACTGTTCTCAGTAAATTTCAGAATCAAATATAATATTGGATTATATTAGATATAGTTAATCATCATGTTAGTGTCGATGATCCAAAGACACTAATATTCGAGCAAATAAATTTATCTTATCGAATAAGAAAGATGACAGATTAGGTTTAAATTACATATGAAAAGTTTCAAAATTAATCATATATTTAATAAGAAGCACAACAAATTTCAATCAGTCGTCTTTCAAAGTGATGAAGCTTGCATCAAAACTCACTTTTGACTCGAGCAAGCGAAAGCTCAATAGTTCTGATAACTCACATACTTTGGAGAATAGAGACACATAAGATTTCCTGTCTCTATCGATTATAACGACTAGCATCTGATGGGGACAAAGATATTTGTTCAGAGGTGCATTTTCTATTAGATATAGACAAAATGATTCTAGGACAAAAATCAAAACCTTTTTCATTGGGAATAATGCCTTTTATGGTCATGTAACACTTGTGTCGGATGTCATATCGTCACAGCTCATGTATTCTAAATAGATATGGGCAAGATCATACTTATTGAGCACCCAAAAAGGCTGGTTTTGCTCATACCTATATTCTAAAGAACGATGTCTTGTACCATACGTAAGAGATGGAAATATTTGCTATGATTTGTGATAATTAGACTTGATATATTTCTTCTTAAACACGTGATATAGTAACTTCTTTACTGAAAATAGTAATGCTAGAAGATTTTATTTTATGATATACAATGAATCTCACATTACTATAAATGCTTAATCACATTTTCTATTTAAACTATCACAGATGATATTACACTTCTTTTCTTTCCTTTTTTTCCATATAAACATGAATGCAAAATTGCTTCTCTTCTATATATTTTTCTGCTCGATTTCTTTTTTCTTTTTTTCTATATATTCTTCGAAAATAATTTCTTAATTCATAAATTGAATATTAATATTTTCTTTTTCTCTTAAGATGTTATTCATTATGTGAAGTATCAGTTGAAAATGGTGTTATAAAACAAAAACGTTTACCTGATCATACTGACAATTTACCCGAACGTCTTCCAGTAAATGCTCGTTATTATTTAAAAAATAATCATTTAACTGAAACACTTGTACCTGATCACTTATCAAATGATTTATTACGTGAAGCACGTATTAATTTTCTTCAATTAGATGCACTTGAAATATGTGCACAATTAACATTACGTGATTTTTCAATATTTAAATCAATTCAAACAACTGAATATATTGATCATATATTTAAATTAAAATCTTTATATGGTATACCACAACTTGAAAAATTTCTTAAATTACCCAATCAAGAAATGTATTGGACAATAACAGAAATATTACGTGAAAGTCATTTAATACAACGTTCAAAAGTTATTAAACATTTTATTAAAATTGCAAGTAAGGAAGAAAAAAAAGGATTTGTCACATTTACTTGATTTTTTTTTTCAAATCTATTTCATTTAGAATGTTGTAAAGATATGAAAAATTTTAATTCAATGTTTGCTATTGTTAGTGGACTTGATCATAAAAGTGTACAACGTTTACAATCGACTTGGGAACGTGTTCAAGATAAACATAAGAAAATTTTTGAAGTAAGAAAAATATTCAAAATAAAAAAAGTATTCTAAAAATAATTAATGCTACAAAAACAAATACTATCTATGATTTCTTTTGTTTGTTGCATTATGGATTTGAATACAGTATTAGATAGGACTATTTTAAAATGTGTTATTTATTCGAATCATATGTTATCGCATATGAATATTTGCAAGTATAATGATTAGTCTGTGTTGTTTTTGTTTTTTTTAAGAAGTTTTCTTGTTTTAGAGTCTTAGGTCAATTAGTTGCGAAATAGAAATGGTAAAAAAAAGAATTGGGAGATGAAAATTTTAGTTTACTGCATAGACAGAAATGAACTAGGCAAAAATTAAAAGTTCTTTCGCACAAGTTTCAGAGAAGAATTTTTTGTTGGTTACATTTGGATCTAGACGTAAAATAAATGGATCATATATATAAAACTGAATGAAACTTTGTTATTGTTGTTCGCTTTTCTTGAAGAGAAAGCGGCAGGTTGTTTTTTTTTTAAAGAAAATAGAAAAAAGCATGAGATGCGATTTTCATAGACTCTATGGAAAGGCGACGAGTCCGAGTTGAACTTGAAAAGAAATTTAAATTTGTTGTGACTTTGTATCGATGTTCAAAGAAAAACGTCGATTGAGTAAATTTTGAAATAAAAGATTTTGTCTCAATAAGTTACAGTCCTCATTGATGAGAACAGGAACGACACTAACTCTACACATGTCTAATTATGATCATTTCAATCAACTTTTTTGTAACGGAAGATCATATTTACTCTTATATTACATTTAAAATTGACTGTCAAATTTTGAGTTCAAGAAATGTGCAAATATCGTTCTGCATAGTTGGGAAATTGTCAGACTTCTTAGTATTGGAGATATAAATAAAAGCACAAATTATAGAATCGAATGTTTGATATTTATATCTGAAAAAAGGAGACACTAGGAAGTCTAATATTTTCACAATGAATTAATCCTATTGAGACCATTATTTATTCAAAGTATTGGACTGAACAGCCGCTTTGTAGATGATCTGAAAGAGTCTACAACATTTATTCAAAAAAATTAATCAAAATTATCATAATTCAATCATACAAAACCTATATATATATACGGTTTTTTCAAAGCTTTTTCTATAATGAGGTAAGACATATCTGAAAAATGATTTATCAATTCATTGACTCGAATAATTCTTCTATTCTATATGAAAAAAATGAAGTTTAAATACGCTATAACCACATCTTATAAGTTCTCATCCTTTCATATTTTCGAAATATAAATCTATGAATGTAATTCAAAACTTCATCTAAATCTCATAAATCAAAATCATTTGCTTGCAATACTTTACATTTAATATTTCTTTTTCTTTTCAGGAACTTAAATCTTTGCTTGATTTATCCCGAAATATGTCTGTCTATCGAAATTTATTAAAAAATGAATTTGTTGTTCCACCTATTGTAAGTAATAAAAGACTTATTATTAAATATATTGCAAATGTTCTTTGTTCTTATTTTTTTTTAGATTCCCATGTTCCCGGTGTGTATGAAAGATTTGACATTTATACATTTGGGAAATCCAACACAAGATGATGGCTTAGTAATCTATCAAAAACAAGAAATATTATACAAAAAAAATTATTTCTTTGTTTTTTCTAGATTAATTTCGAAAAGCTTCGTATGATTGCAAAAGAAATTCGACATATTACAAATATGGCATCTTCTCCTTATGTAAATCAAAAAAAAAAAAAATATATATATATATTTAAAAAGAATTTTTCAATTAATAAATTAATATTTTTCTTTAAAGGATATTTCAAATATGTTCGATTCTCCAACATCTCATCCACAAATATTTGCCGGTTTTGGCCATCAATCAATGATAGATTCATTTGGTACAATGCGAAGACACCAATTTGGTAATCGTTTATCTGTTATGGCAAATGCTAAACGAATTTATGATGAAGTAAAAAATCTTTTATTTATTTTTTTTTTTGGACTTTAGAAAATTATTATTTTATATTTAGGCATTAATGGTTAAAAAAGTAAAAACTTATTTAAATAATGCTGAAATAATCGAAGATGAAAATCGTCTATTGGATATAGCCAATCAATGTGAACCAGGTAAAAAAGACTTAGTTTTGATTTCGAAAGTTTCATAAGACAAAATCAAAATAATAATTCAATCGTTTATTCAAAAATATAAAATGAGATTTTTATTCTAGTTTTTCATTTCTTTGAGCATACAAATCAAAAAATAAATGATTTTGGTGAGAATATTTAGCGCATAGAAAAAAAAACGAAGCAATTGAACAGCATGTTCTTATGATATCACAAAAAATGTGTATGCGCATGTCTTGTTTTTTTTTCCATATGTATATATATATATTATTTGTTTTAAGTATTGAAAATATACGCACGTTTGTTTCCTTTAGCTGGAGTAGGAAATACACCTGCATCTTCATCAAGGCTATTTTTTAAACTTTCATTAAATAATGATGATAATGAATTTGTTATTGTGAATACACCAACAAATTCAAAAGCACATGATCAAAACAATGATGTTATACAAAATGAAAAACCTAATACACTTATTAAAAGTGATGAAACAAAAAATAATAATAATAATGATAATCGTAATAATAATAATAATGTTGATGCTCGATCACGTACGGATTCATCGCCAACAATATTTAGTGCTTTTAAAAGTGCTTTGTTCAATGGTATTTTAGCCAATAAGAAGCATACTTAGACCATCTAACGATTTCTTGTCTTTTTCTCTGTCACTAAGCATCAACTAGTTTGCCGCTTGCTCTCTATTTATTTTAATCATAGAAATTTATATTCGAATTCAATTTTTAACTTATCTTTTATTTATTTTCTAATTTAGTCAGCACACTTAAACGTCGTCCATCACCATCAACATCAAGTTTATCATCAAATTCATCATGTGATCGTCGTGCTGGTTCTATACAATTGACGAAATTCGGTATATTATTTTATTTTATTTTTCTAATTTATCTTAAATAAGAGTTTTCAATGGATATCTGTTCAAAGAAAAATAAAATTTTTTAATTGATGTTTCTTTTGTTTAGGAAGTTTTTCAGGTAAAATAAACGAATGATGTTTATATGTGTTTTATTTTGTGTCAGTTATATTGGTTTCTGTATCGAGCATGTTCCGAGATCGTCAGGATTGAGAGGGAATGAATGATTCGTAACGAAATTCTGAAACGAGACTATGTATATTATGTAAAACCAAATAAATAGAGACAAACTCTACTGAGAATATTTTAAATCTTGTTGCTGTTCCTATTCTCAGATATGGTTATAGTAACAGCATGTCTTTTACATCGCTTATATAAATCAACAGATCTAATGTTCTTATTTCAGGATAGAAGCAAATCAAAAGATGTGAAGTTTTTCACAATAAACTACTCTCTTTACAATCTGTCTCTATGCAAAGGATCAAGTCGATATTTAAGAAGAATTTTGTTTCACATTACTAGACATTCATTCATTTTAAAACTACGGTAAAAGTTCTTTTATCTCCACAGAAATAAACGAAAGGCGTAAGCTTTTATGCAGATAGTCTTAACTCAAAAACAACTTATTAGTTATAGGAATTTTCTCATTAGAAGATCATTTAGAAGACTTCTGTTAAAGTTGAGTGTTTTATTGACAATAAGTGAGGAAAGAAAAAATAGTTAAACACTGGAAAAAAATGAAAACTTGTCAAAATTAGAAACTATAGAATGTATATGTTTCATATGGTAGGTAGACATGCGACTTTCTTACTCTGAAACGGATTTCTTTGCTCAGAAATTATTGGATATGACACTGAAAAGTATTTTTAAGAAACATTGTTATATATCATTGGATGTAACTTAACGCATTAATTCAGAATATACTGTTTTTGTCGATTAAATAATTTCCAAAAGCCAGAAAAATCTATGTTTTGTGTAAATTCATTGTGTAGTCCAGAAATGTTTGTGCTAACACAAATGAGAAACAGTAGATAGAAAAGCATTCTGGCAAACTTTGAAGGTTGCATGTAGGCGGATTGCTCATTTTATGGGACTAGTCATTAGAATAAGACTGTAGAAAAAAACAGTACTATTTTATTTTCTCTGAAGTTAAACATGCAAATTAAACAATATTTATTACCATTATACAGAGCACGGTTTTAGATTGAGAAAATGTACTTGAAGTGTCTCATTTTTGGGCAACTGCTTTTTCAATTTCTTTGACGATTGTAACAAAATTATTTATACAATTAGTTTCATTATATTTCGAAGTACAAGTCATCCGTTCCCTTTTCGTCCTTCGCTCGGAATATCTCTGTTCCCGCATGTTGTTTACCTCATTGCTATTATGCTTACATTTTCTACACAGAAAAAAAATAATTGTTAATTATTTCTTTTTTTTTTTTATTCTTTCGAATATTTTCAGGCACACAATCACCGGATGCCGTTAACAAATTACTTCGTCTAACGGACAGTAGTCATCAAACAAAAGCTCGTGCACCACAACGACCAATTCATACACCAACACCATCTAATATTTTAAGTACATCAGTACCGAATACAGCATCACCCATAATAAGTAGTGTAACAACCACAACAACAACAACAGGACTTTCATCATTAAATGAACCGACTCATCATCATCGTCATATAGCAAAAATACGTGATACAAATAAATTAACAAGTGAAAGTTCAAGTTTAAATTTTAAATCACCAACATCAACATCATATATACATCTTATGCGATCTCATACTCGTAAGTTAGAAAATATTTAAACAATACAAAAAATGTAGTTACTAATTAATTAATTATTTTATTTAAAGAATTACATCAAAGTCATAGTGAATTAATAAAGGAAGGTGGTGGTGATTCTGGACGTGGTAGTCTTAATTCAACGGATACTTGTATGTTCCAGGAAAAACTTTTATTAATTTATTTTCTCTAAATAATATATTTTAGGTGTTGGTGATGGAAATGAAAAATCGATTAATACAATAAATGATGGATTTTCATCAGTTAAAGTTCGAAATCGACCTCCATTACCACAATCAAATTCTGTTACATGTAGTAAGTTTAAACAAATATGATAATTAATCGATTGCAGATGATGGTTTGTTTTTTCTATAGAATTTTTTCAAAGAGGGAATATTTTCAATTGATGAATTTTAAGTCTGTGCATTAGATAGATTGCAGTGAAACATAAAAACAACTCCAACAGATAAATCTCCTTAGATATCTATCGAGAGTTATAGGCATTTTACTAAGATTTTAGTCTGTGACATGATGTATACCAACAAATCGAAATATCATCATTCGATTTGTAAGTATATACCATGCAAGAGGCTAAAACTTTAATAAAATACATATAAATTTGAAAAGAATATCTAAAAAGATTTCTCTTCTACTGCCTAAACAGAATTTGAGTTCAAACACGATTGATTAGTTGAGAATGTTCACTGGCAAGATATTATTGTTTAAGAGTAATGGTTCGACGAAAAATGATGAGACTTTCAAGGCAAATAGATCTCAATAAGTAAAATAAAAGTTGTCCTAGACTCAAAATTCTTGGATGGTTTTTTCAAGAAGATATCGAGTTGCAAAGGTGAAATATCTTCTTCGGAAAAACTCTATACATCATTTTTTTTGAGCTACAATTTCTTTACGAAAATTGGGAACAAATTGGGATGCGTATCTTTTTTTTCTTTCAGAAATATCATTCCTAGAGTTCAAAAAAAAAGCAAAGTACTGAAAGTACTGTCAAAAAGCTTGTTTATTTTCAATGACAATAATTTTTTAAAGACTGCCGAATTTCATAGGAACAACATCCATTTTAACTCATAAAAAATCTGAACGTAAAGTTGAGCTTAAAAAAAGTATTAACTAGCAGTGAAGAACCCTCATTTCTATGGCATTCGATAGAGAATATTTCGAAATTTCGATTGTGACATTTGTTTGTTTGTTTGTTATTTTTTTACTTTTAGCAACTCGTCATGATGGTGCACAAATTCCAAAGTCGGTGCATAATTGGTTTCAACGTTCTCAATCAGAAAATGAAGTGACTACAGCTGATGTACCTGATCGAGGTAATTATTAGCTAATGAAATATAGATAAATAAATAAGAGAGAGAGAAATTATATTTTATTAATTTAAAGGAAACTTACGTCGAACAGATTCTATGTAAGCATTTTTTTGTGAAAAAAAAAGAACACAGAAATGTTTGAAAAATTGGTTCCATTAACTGTTTTTTTGTTTTTCTTTTTTTTGAATTTTTTACAAGTTTTCACCCATTTACCCATATTTTCAGATTAAAATATATTTTATTGCAATTGAAATAATTTTTTTTTCTGTTTTTTCTCTCTTCTAGAAGAAACAACAGTCGATTACGACGAACATGAACAAGTGACAGCTGTCTAAAAATATGTGTGCTAATTTGTTTGTATAATTGGCCCGGTGCCTTTTTCATTCTTCGGTTTGTTTTTTTTTTTAATTCTTTTCTTTGAACAGTGAATTATATGCGTACTGCACATAAAAAAGTTCATCATTATATTGTACATTGTGTGTGTGTTTTTTTTCATTTTCATCTTTATTGTGTTCATTTCTTTTTCGTTTTTTTTTTATATTTTCCTATATTGATTTGTCTTAATGTTGTTAATTGATGCTCAATAGTTCCGTTTGCTCATATATTCTATTATATTGATCTGATTGATTTTGTTTTTCTTCTTCTTCTTCGATCGAAGTAGTAGTATTCGTATGCTAGATTTATATATTATCCAATGCTTGCTTTTTATTTCTCATTTAAACCGAGTTTATACTTAGCCACGCGATTCAATATGTTAATTTCTTCACCAATACTTATCATCGGTTGTCAGATGTGCTGCGCTTGTTTTCTTTTTTTTGGAGTTTTTCTTTCTTTAAAGAACAAAAAAAAACACGAATACTTAGAAAAAAAAAAACATTAATTATTTTTGGTTTATGCGGGTAAAGATAACTGTGATATTAAGATGTGGTCCAGAAATCTATATTCGAGCTAAAACGATCTGTTATTGTTGAATTAAAAACGGAACTAATAGCTTTACTCGCTCAACTTTTGATGTCGATTCTTTTATTGTGAAATTTGTCTATTATTTAATATTCGAACGCTTTTTTCTGTGTTATATTTTCGCTTGTTTATTATTTATACAGCACAATCTATCTCTTATAGGATCGTGTGTATGTATGTGTTTATTTGTCCAGTTTTGTTTTCTCTATCTTTTTTTTGTCGTATATCATCAGAATATGAAATCGTGTGTGAAATAAAAGAAATTAAACCAACAAAACAGTAAAAAAATTTAAAAGAGTAAAGAGCAGTGTGTGCACCAACAGATAAAGATGAGATAAAAATCACCTGAGTACACATTGATGGTTCGATCATCGCGCCGTTGTTATCTTTTTTAAATAAAAACTTCAATAATGTTTGTGTCAATGCCCATTTTTCAATTTGTTCGAATATCTTTATTTCCAGACGAAAAAAAAACTATGATAAAATTATTTATTCTTGTCGTATTATCCTGTTCGATCAATTCATTATGGGCAGGAACACCATTCAAAGATTGTGGATCAGAGGCAGGTACAATTCAAGAATTTGAAGTAACGGATTGTCCAACAGCTCCATGCAAATTTACAAAAGGCAAAACATATGCAATGAATTTAACATTTACAGCCAAAGCTCCATCAAAAACAGCGACAGTTAGCATTCATGGTAAATGAAAAAATGCTTTTCTTTTTTAAAATATTTCTTTCTTTTTAATGCAAGGTGTTATTGGTGGTGTTCCAGTTCCATTTCCATTACCAGATCCAGATGCTTGTAAAATGAATGTTAAATGTCCAATAAATCCAAATGATAGCAATGTAGCATCAATGTCGTTACCTGTTTTAGAAGTATATCCATCAATTTCACTTTATGTCAAAATTGAACTTAAAGCTGATGATCAAAAACAAGATTATGCTTGTTTATTATTTCCAGCAACAATAATAAGTGGTGCACATGGAAGAAAAAATTTAGTTGGTTGGAAAAAAGGCCAATTGTTTGAAATGCTTGATTAAAAAAAAATACTTTTTTGTTTGTTTTTTTTTTAAATGTTTGCCAAAATGACATTAAAAAGATCTTCACATCTATTTCAGTTATTCTACTCACATGTGTTTTCTTCACTTGTTAAAGATTTCGGATTGTGTATGACTATTTCCTTTTTGTTAAAAACAATACTCATCATCTTTCACTATGTCTTTTATACAGGGTGTCCCAAAAGTCCATCGAGAAACAAAACTTGAATAACTCTTCAACGATTCAAGTGATTCACATGAGCTTTTCATTATTTTATAGAATATTCTCTGAAGTTTTATTTCAAATAATTTCATCAACAACTGTTGTTGAAAATGATCACCGTTAACTGAAATACGCAAATACACTCTTTTCAAAACACTTATAAAAGTAGCGCATAAAGCTTCTGCTAAGATCATATTGATATCATTATCGATCTGTCATTTACATAGTAACGATGTATTTTGCACTAAAATTTGTATAAAAGGCTTTATTCAGATGCAAGTGACAAAACGATGATGATATCAAGATGATTTCAACAGAAGCTTGATGCACTACTTTTATAAGTGTTTTGAAAAGAGTGTATTTGCGTATTTCAGTTAACGGTGATCATTTTCAACAACAGTTGTTGATGAAATTACGTGAAATAAAACTTCAGAGAATATTCTATAAAATAATGAAAAGCTCATGTGAATCACTTGAATCGTTGAAGAGTTATTCAAGTTTTGTTTCTCGGCGGACTTTTGGGACATCCTGTATTATGATGAAATTGAAAATCTACATCTGCTTTGAGTGCACTTTTGTTTGAATTTCAGCAATAAAGTCAAACTTAAACAGCTGTATTTACTCACACATACTGTATTTACACACAATGATAAAGCACTAAGCAATTGTTTTTTTTTCTCTGCACTTACTATCACTCTTTTGTTCTATCATACGATGTGTATTTAAGTTGAACTTATATCCTTAACAATAAATAGTAACTCTAGAGATTCAAGAGTATTGAATATATATTACAATCATGTAACTTTAGTTTCAAGAAATACACGGATAATTGAAATTTTTCAAATAAAAGATTACCTAGTAAACTCATCATAAATTATTTAGATTTTACATTAAAAGTAAGAAGATATCATTTTAGGAATGATTCCAGGCATGATCTAGTATTTTATTGTTTGTTCATTATGATAATAGTGATCTTATATTTCCCTTGACAACGAAAATAACTATTCTTATCATTGATTAAGGTATTAAATCAAATCTATGGATCATTACATATAATTTATGAAATTTGAATCAAAAAAAAATATCACCAAGACTGAAAAGCATAGTATTTGTTAGGCTTACTAACGTATTAGAGTTCTAAGCTTGACATTAACAAAGGATTTAATATTTACTTATGTCCAATAGGCTTATTTTTGACAAAAACCAGATAACCTTCTCTAGTTGTATTAAATAGTGCATGTTTTTTTGTTGAAAATTGCTTCTTATCTTACAAATGTGATCTGCGTTTCTTCTTCATTCGATTGTTATTGATATTTTAATAAGACATGAGAAGATGAAACTTTGTTCTTATTTTAGATAAAATGGCTGCTAGTTTAGATGATAAATTTGAAAGTTTAGAATCAATTTTAGCTGAACATCTACCAGCAGATGTACTTGAAAAAGTAAATTTATCTCTTCGTGGGCCAGGTGCAACGTAAGTGTAAAGAATTAAATTTATGAACTATAGTTTTTTTTCATTTTCTTCTTTTAAATTAAGTGACCTTGAATTACCAACTAAGGCAAAAGAAACAGCTAAAAAAAATAATTTTGATCTTCAAGGTTATCAAATTAAAATAGCACAAAAAGAACAAACAAGACCACCACGTTTAGTTCGTATTGGTGCTATTCAAAATGCTATTCAAAAACCAACTACAGCTAGTGTTGAAGAACAAGTATGATAAAAAATTCTCTTCTTTAAAATATTAATTAGATGCATATATATAATAGAGAAATGCAATTCATCAACGTATTGATCAAATGCTTGCTGTTGCGCATGAATGTCAAGTAAATGTAGTTTGTATGCAAGAAGCGTGGAGTATGTATTCTCAATAGAACTTGTTATTGTTGACAACGGTTATTGAATTTTAGCTATGCCATTTGCTTTTTGTACACGAGAAAAATATCCTTGGGTTGAATTTGCTGAATCAGCATATAATGGACCAACAACAAAGTTTCTTGCCGAAGTTTGAATTTCGTATAAATCAATATGTTTTTTGTTTATTTGATGATTAAAAATTTAGAGAGCAAAAAAATATAATATGGTTATTGTTAGTCCAATATTAGAACGTGATGAAGCACATGGCGATGTTTTTTGGAATACAGCAGTAATTATTTCAAATCGTGGTAATGTTATTGGTATTACACGAAAAAATCATATTCCAAGAGGTAATTTTTTTTGTTTTTTTTTTTAGTTTTAATAATTCAATGTCATTATTTTATTGTTCTTTTTCTAGTTGGTGATTTTAATGAAGTAATTTTTATTGATTTAGTTCATTGATACACAATTCAAAATTTTTTATTTAGTCAACTTACTATATGGAAGGCAATACAGGTCATAAAGTGTTCGAAACAGATTTTGGTATGTTTTGTTTTCTTTTTTCATTGTATATTATGAAAAATATCTATTTGCCATTTTCTTATAGGTCGAATTGCGGTAAATATTTGCTATGGACGTCATCATCCACAAAACTGGCTTATGTATGGTGTAAATGGTGCCGAAAGTAAGTTTTTATGTCGAGTATTTAGAGAGAAAAAAAACAAACTTGTTTTGATTTTAGTCGTTTTTAATCCAAGTGCGACAGTTGGAGCACTTAGGTAAAATTAAAATGCATTTCGGAGATTATAAATTTTGAATTTGGAAACTTTTTTAGTGAACCTTTATGGAGTATTGAAGCACGTAATGCAGCTATTGCAAATAGTTACTTTGCAGTTGGTATTAATCGAGTTGGAACTGAAACGTTCCCAAATGAATTTACAAGTGGTGATGGTAAACCAGCTCATAAAAATTTTGGACATTTTTATGGTAATATTTTGAATTTGATAATAAGTTAAATTATTTTATTTCTTTTAGGAAGTAGTTATATAGCATCACCTGATGGTAGTCGAACACCTGTGAGTTTTAAGAAAAACTATTATTTTTTGTTTAATTCGTTTTTTTTCAGGGTTTATCTCGAATTCGTGATGGACTTTTAGTTACTGAATGTGACTTGAATTTAAGTCGTCAAATGAAAGATAAATGGGGTTTTCGAATGACACAACGTCTTGATTTATATGCTGATAGTTTTGCTCGAGCAATTCGTCCGGATTATAAAATGGATATTATTAAGGATCCAAGTTCAACAAAATAAATCTCTTTTTTTCTTTTACTCATCCTTTCTTAATCTCTAAAATTTTATATCTCATTTCATTAAGAATAAATAATAAAACATACATTCATGGCTTATAACTAATGAATACTATTTTGTAATTTTAAAGATCTGAAACGAAAAGTAAAAACATTGCGAATCATATATAAGGATAATTATCATATAATATTTAATTTCATCGATTTTGACTTTCTCGCTACTAATCTAACTGGTGCACTAAATATAATGTCCTCGTTCATATTTTGTAAAACACGATCTAATAAGAATGTTGAAGTATATAGGATGAAAGTTTTCACTCTCCTCTCACAGACTGCAACATATACTAATTGGACAACATCATAAACTGTGATAGACGTTCTTGACATATGATTACAGATCGTATGACAATAATAGCTGAGAATAATATGTTAACTACTTCTTTATTGTATTTTTGGATGATTAAGTAAAAGCAAAGTGAAGAAGTGTAGACAGAATAAAACAATATCCCTATGATTAGCAACAGCAACTATATCGTGTTTCACATATTAATCCCACAAGGATTGCACCAACAGCTTTTTTATTTATCTTGGTCATATTTGTAAATAGAGCACTGCGCTTAGCCTCGAAATATTTATTATTCTATTCTTCAAAAAATCGCGTGATAGCCTTAAATCTAATGTTAACGCTGGGCGCGAAAATTGGATAATCGTCTATTTGTTCAATATTTAACAGTTTCTAGCATACAACAACTTGTAAGCAAAGTTTTGTTCATTATAGCCTATGTTTTTCAAGGATTATTTATCTGTTTTCTGGCAATAGATCGGTAGCTGCTGTATATGGAAACTTTTAAAGGCTAAGTATTTCATCATATCTGGATATTTAGAAGGGTTAGCTTTTCTTATGAAAGTTTGTTCTCAACAAAGAGCTACTTCTATTGCCATAATGAAGTTTCTATGTTATGTCTCTTACGCCCAAAATAAAAGAGTCAAGTATTGAAAATTGTTTGAAAAACATCCTCTAGAAATCGATAGATAATATCGGATAAGCTCATTGTTCTTTGATTCTTTTGCCAATTTTGAAGATAAGATCTGATATTCTCGTACGATTTTATAAAGAATTGAATAGCGGCTCATTTGAAATCAAACGTTGTTTTCTACATATAAACATAGATCAGATAAAACGAAACTTCGAATGGTATCATTATTTATGACACACATACTATAATCTCAGTTTATTCGTGAAAACATCGTAATAAATAAAGGAGACTTTTCACAATCTGTGTTCAAGTTGTAAAGGTATGTTTCTATCGAATACTATATTTAAATTATTTTTCGATAGTGATAAACTGTTCGATTGAAAGTATTGTATGTAATTCAATGATGTTTGAAGAATGTAGCAAACTAAATAATATCCTACATGTCATCAGAGTCGAAACTAGTACTGGTAGTCAGAGATACAGAATTGGCCCACGTGTGGGAACGCACTTTTGGGAAAATCTTCTTGAGTTCGGATGAATTTCTGAAAAAAATATTTTATTTAAAGAAATTTTTTGAAAAATTTTTATCTAGGAATGTTTGTTTGAAACTCTTGAGTCTATGGATATTCGCCAAGTTATT